TGCCCGCCATTAATGGTCGGCCAATCATCCTTCCACTCCACAGGAACGAGGAATGTCTCCCGACCTACCCATCAGATATCATCAGCTACCCTCATCGGTAATCCCAGCATGGTGAATGCACCTACCAAAAACCGACTCCTCCCACTCTCCATCCTTCCACACCGGCCTCACCCCCAGAAACACTGCCCACCAGTTGCCCTCCGCGTCCTCGACCAGATCCGCATGCCCGGTATTCTGCACCTCGTCGTCCACCCCATTTCTCCAGAGGGGATTACACGGCCCAACCTCCCACGGCCCAAACGGGCTGACCTCGCTCCGACAAACCCACTCGCAGTGCCCGCTCTCGGTGCCACCCTCCGCCGTGAAGAGATAGTAGTACTTTCCCCGCTTGAAGATATGCGAGCCCTCCGCCACACCGGAGGCCGATTCGCGGATCAGTCTCGGCTCGGAGGTGGAGTTGCCCGTCTCGAGGTCAACTGTTGCGATATGGATGGCGAAATCTTTGAGGGTGGCGCCGGGGGTGCGGACGAGCTTGCGGTATGTTGATGATAGGTACACCGTTCCGTCGTCGTCCCAGAAGAGCTATTCCGTTAGTTTACTCTTGATTTGGATCCGGGCTGAGTTTCCGGGCTGGGCTTACATCCTGGTCGAACCCGACCTGATCAAAATACACGGGATCAGACCACGAGTCCGAGTCCCAGATATTCTCTGTCTTGACGTAGAATCCCCGCGGCCAGACACGGTCGTCCTCCTGCGGACGGTACCGCTCGAAACTGGCGGCGATGATGTAAAAGGTCCCCTTGTGGTAGCGCAGGGTTGTTGCCCAGATGCCGCCTCCTGGCTCGGGAGTGTGGATCTGCAGCTGGCTGGGTTTAGTCAAGGCATGACCGATCAATGACCAGCGGATTAGATCTGTGCTGTGGTAGATTGGGGCGCCGGGGAAGTACTCGAAGGACGAGGTGACGAGGAAGTGGTCATGATTGACGCGGATGATGGAGGGGTCCGGGTTGAACCCGGGGATGATGGGATTGTTGTACATTCTACACTACTACTGTTTTCTCTGATTGATCGTTCATCGAGCTGATGTTGATGGTAGATATCTAAGGTATGGTATTGCGGGGGATTGCTATATAGCGGAGGTTGATAACTTGATGCTCTTTGGTGATTGGTGGAGAAATCGAGAGCACAGTCAGCCCGTGAGGATCATCTGTCGGATCATGGCTAAATGCATTTACCCATATCCACGTCGATTTAGCCGCAGATGTAGATTGCAGAAAGGTTGTGTATTATGCTGGTACTCCCTGGTGACCTGATAGGCAAAGAGATTGGCTTCCTCAGACTTGAGGCTTCACTTCAACTCAGATCAGGCTGGTGTGTGCATGACCCTGGTAGCGCATTGAGCTACAATCTATGGACCCGAGAGCAAGCTTTCTGGGGAATTGGAAAAGTCCACAATAAGGGGGCCCCAGTATAATTCTCTGAACCTAATGGGCCGTGGTTGACTGAGCCTAGCTGGACCCTGGAGCATCCTCGATACATGAGCAGAGAACGAGGTGCTGTCAATAGTCGCAAGATAGGAGTGTCTCCCTCTATCTGATGGTATTAGCTGTATATCTCGAGAGATTCAAGACGAGTGAAAAGGGGAAGCCGTCGACTCTAGTGATTCTTGTTGTATGATGGTTTCGTGGCATGTGATTGTGGATTCCCGGATGGATCGCGATTGCACGAAAACGATCAGGTTCTCTAGACCAAATGGACAGCAGTTAACTGGAGACCATGTGAATCTGACTACTTACACGTGCTCCTAGAATATCTTCGACAGTTAAAATGAGGATGAGATAATCCGAATACCAGGAGAATGGATCATGGATTAGGGACTAGAATAAGATACACGCAGCACAATGCCAAGCCTCTTGTTGCCTGAAAGACCAGGCATAAGTTTCGTCGGAAGACACGCGTCCCGACGGAGTCAACTGGCAACACAACACAGAAGATCAAGGGATGATGATGAATCAAGAAATGACGCATCTTCAGCTCGTCTAATCTCATCTCATCATCTCATTGAGGACGTTAATCTGATGCCTGATCACGATAACTGATGAAATTCAGAGGCTCCTCGGTATTGCCGATGAGGCTAGGAATCCCTGCATACCGGCGCAGGGCTGATCTTGCCCATCCTGGTCATTCGATCTGTCTCGGCGCGTAGATTACTTTCAGTTCCGATGACTTTTCTCCCTGACCGAGACGATATAATTATTTCCCTTTCAAAAGTCACGGCATTCGATCGGAACACCCCGTACATTCTGGACCGATTGAAATCAGGCATTCAGGCCACCACGCTGCCTGAGCCGAGGTAGATTCCCATTCGGGAAACGCCGCCCACAGGCCGAGGTGATTCACTCTCCCCCATCCACTTCCCCGTGGAGAAAAGAAAGGCAGTTATAAGGGTCATTGTCCATTCTTTCATCCACTGCCTCATTTGCTTAATCTACTCCTTACCTCCCCCAGATTGTTCTGTACCTACCATATTCGCAATGCCTTCTCCTCCTCCCGAATGGGTCAAGGCGCTGACGCCTTCGAGCCCGCAGGGTACCGACCTGCTCAAGCAGGAGCGTGCCCAGTCCAATGTTGAAGTCGACAAGCTTGCAGAGTTCCTACATACTAAAGCCTTCCTGGAGAAGCAGCAGCGCTTTCTTGAGCTTCTCTCGTCCGAGAAGGTCTTCGACAAGTCCCAGATGCACTCCCAGGGTCGTCCTGAGCGGATCCAGCGGGCATTGGCCAAGGGTAAGCGACTGCAGCAGTTGAAGGAGAAATACAACTGGTCGACCGAGGATTACCACTTTGCCAGTGAGATGATTGGAGAGCCTACTCCTTATGGTCTCCATGCGAGCATGTTCTTGGTACGTTACCGTCTGCGCGATACGGCGGGCCTGAGCTAATGGTGTTGTGTTACAGGTGACTCTCCGCGAACAATGTACCCCGGAACAGAAGAAGCTCTTCCTCGAACCCGCCGAAAAGTATCAGATCATCGGTTGTTACGCACAAACAGAGTTGGGCCACGGATCGAACGTGCGTGGTCTGGAGACCACCGCTACATGGAACCCCGAGGACAAGACCTTCACCATCCACTCGCCTTCCCTTACAGCATCCAAGTGGTGGATCGGATCCCTCGGACGCACCGCCAACCATGCGGTGGTGATGGCGCAGTTGTTCATTGCTGGCAAGAACTACGGTCCTCACCCTTTCATCGTCCAAATTCGCGACCTCGAGACGCATCAGCCATTGGAGAATATCTACGTGGGTGACATTGGACCCAAGTTTGGTTACAAGTGAGCACTCCACCTCAGTAATTTGGTCTGTACTGACCTGTACAGCACCATGGACAATGGTTTCCTCCTCTTCAACAACTTCAAGATCCCTCACATCAACATGCTTGCCCGCTTCTCCCGCGTAGACAAGGAGACGAACAAGTACATGCGCCCCGCGTCGCCATCCCTAGTATTTGGAACCATGACCTGGGTGCGCTCCAACATCGTCCTGCAGGCCGGTTCCGTGCTGGCCCGCGGTGTCACCATCGCCACTCGCTACTGTGCGGTCCGCCGCCAGTTCCAGGACCGCGACGCCAAGGCGGGCGCGGGCGAGACCCAGGTGCTCAACTACAAGATGGTGCAGATTCGTCTGCTGCCGCTGTTGGCGGCCATGTATGCCCTGCACTTTACCGGCCGGGGTATGATGCGTCTGTACGAGGAGAACCAGAACAAGCGCGCCGCCGCCGAGGCCGAACAGGACAAGCGCGGGGCAGCTCCCGAGGCCCTCCGTGCCGGGTCGGATCTGCTGGCCGATCTGCACGCCACTTCTTGTGGTCTAAAGGCGCTCGCCAGTACCACCGCCGGAGAGGGGCTGGAGATCTGCCGTCGCGCCTGTGGTGGTCACGGATACAGCAGCTACAGCGGTATCGGACCATACTATTCCGACTATCTTCCTACCCTGACCTGGGAGGGTGACAACTACATGCTCACCCAGCAGGTTGCCCGCTACGTAAGTTTTCGTCCTACTTATCTGTCAACAAAGCTAATGCTAGGTAGCTCCTCAAATCCGCTCGTGCAGTGCTTGCCGGCAAGGGAACCGGCAACGACACCAGCCAGATCCTCCAGGCATACCTTGCGCGTCGCGACAAGGGTGCCTCGTTCGACATTCTCGAGGTGGACAGCGACATTGTGGCCGCGTTCGCCTGGCGCACAGCCCACCTCACCTTTGAGGCTCTCAAACACCGGGATCTCGAGAAGCGGTCATGGAACAGCCTGCTGGTCGACTTTTGGCGTCTGTCCACGGCTCACTCGCAGTACCTGGTGGTCAAGAACTTTTACGAGGCGGTGTCGTCGCCGGACCTGGCCGCCAAGCTCGGCCCGGAGACGACCAAGATCATGCACAACCTGTTCCGGCTGTACGCTCTACACACGCTAGAGCGAGAGGCGGCCGAGTTCTTCTCATCGGGCGCCGTGACTGTCCGGCAGATCACTCTGACCCGGACCAACGCGGTGATGAAGCTGCTGGACGAGATCCGACCTCACGCCGTCCGCCTGGTGGATGCCTGGAAGATCCCTGACTGGCAGCTGGACAGCAGTCTGGGCCGTTATGATGGTGACGTATACCCCGATCTGTTCAACCGGGCCAGCCAGAATCCTGTTAATGATCTGGTCTTTGACCCGTATCCGTGGAACGAGGCGGTGCTGAAGAACGCACCAAAGGCCAAGCTTTAATTTCATTCTGTATATATTAGCTGTATATGATAGATAGGGCCACATAGAATAGATGATATGACTCAATCGTCGGTCCTCTCTCAGTCACGAAGTATAAAGGACAGTACCTGACACGTCCGATGTCGGAGCGGAGGCATACATCCCCGCATATAAGGTCTCCAATCCCACACGTTACAACTATATCCATCCCATCTATACAACATTCCTATGTCTTCAATTGAAAAAGGAAAAGGAACCAAAATGGAGAAAAAAGAATCAGCCACCTACACCCACGGCCACCACCCCTCCGTCCTCCGCTCCCACACCTGGCGCACAGCCGCCAACTCCGCAGCCTACCTCCTCCCCCATCTGCGCCCAGATATGCACATCCTCGACATCGGCTGCGGGCCCGGCACCATAACCGTCGATCTCGCCCGGCTGATTCCACAGGGCCACATAACCGGTCTCGAGCTCTCCCCGTCCGTCCTCGAGCAAGCCCGCGCCCTCGCCGCCGACCAGTCCCTAACCAACATCACCTTCCTGTCCGCCGACGCCAACGCCCTCCCCTTCGAGGAGGGAACATTTGACCTGGTCCTCTGCCACCAGGTCCTCCAGCACGTGCGCGATCCAGTACATATCCTGGCCGAAATGCGCCGGGTCACGAAAGAAGGCGGGTTAGTTGCGGCCAGGGAATCGGATTATGCGGGGTTCGTCTGGTACCCAGCCACCCCCGGGCTAGATGTCTGGCGGGAAACATACCTGAAGGTATGTAGGGCGAACGGCGGGGAGCCGAATGCGGGGCGGATGGTGCATGCCTGGGCGAAGCAGGCTGGGTTTGCACGCGAGCAGATAAAGTGTAGTTCGAGTAATTGGTGTTATAGTTCTCCTGAAGAAGTGGAGTGGTGGAGTGGGCTCTGGGCGGAGAGGACGGTGGCGTCGGAGTTTGGGAGGACGGCGAGGGAGAATGCGGGTGTTGATGCAGCAGAATTGGAGGGGATCGCGAGGGCGTGGAGGGAGTGGGGGGTGCAGGAGGATGCGTGGTTTTCGGTGCTTTCGGGGGAGGTGCTTTGTGTTAAGGGGGGGAGGTGGTAGATATTCTTCGTTGCTGCTGCAAGAAATATATGACTACGGTATTAGGTCAGGTGGTTCAAGTTGCTTTTCTTCTAACAGAGGCACATAAGGCTGGACGTCTCAGATTGATAGATTTGATAGAATGAAGCGTCCGTGTCAGAACTGCTGCCTTCTCGAAGAGCCGAATCAGTTACCCTGATCAACTGCCATCTTACGTGCAGGATACAGGTGCTTACACCAGGCTGAATGCAACAAAGCAGTCGTTCTCCAATATACCCTGTAAATGGGCCAGGAAGGCCCGACTAGAGGATGGCCAGGTAGCCGCAGAGATCAAACGTGCGGTTATACAGCGGCGTAGCAGACAGGAACAGACGTGCCACCGGCGGGACGTCGTCACGGTCAACGCCCCCTGTTGTCATCGCAGTCTACTGGGTCTCCCATGTCTCAACGTAGCTTTGGGCGGGAACACGCAGGGCAAAGGAATGTAGAACAAGGGAGTAAGCCCCTAATGGACACGTACTAGTGACAGGAGGCTTTGAAGATCCGTACTGCCATCCGACGCCAGGCAGCGAATTGCATCCTATCATTCGCATGATCACTGGGAGGGCCCAGTATGCGTCCCTGTGTGCCAGGTGGACTAACCTGAACAAGCATACAAACGCCTTCTGCTGGAGGAGCTGGTATAGGGGCGGTTGGGTAGCTCGGCCATGGTCGGAAAGTTGTATCCATGAAACCAGTCGACATCAGCATGACCCGTGGGTTCATCTGCGAGGTCCGCCGCCTAAGCCCTGAATAGAAGATTGCAACGTAGCCGCACATGTCGAACGCCCTGTTATCAAGGGGGTCGCTGTTAGGAACCACACGTGGGAGCCTTCCAGCCTGGCAACGCCTGGTGAACTTGGGTCCGGATGGTTTTGGCCGCCTGGCCTGTCACTGACCACGCGGCCGAACCATCCGGCCAGATTGGAGTCGAATCGCCTGACTTGCTGACTCGGCCGGCGCCAAGGTTGCTGTCATCTGCATACAAACGGATAGAGATTGCTTTGATTTCGCTCTGTAGAACTGGAGAGCTGCCGCCAGGCCACATGTCCCGTGTTCCCGGGCAACAGGCATGCATCAGCACCGGGATATCTGATATGAGCTAACTCAGACGCACCAATGTTATGGTAATCGAGTCTGTATTTGCCACTTGCAGCTGTACCAGGGTCGCATTGCCTGTTCATCGTCCTCTGGTGCAGCATCATCGGCGCCATCCAGCTGCTGGGCTCTCGCGTTGTATGTCAGAGATTAGGGTAAGGATAAATGGACATTCCACGTTGCTGTTTGTTCCCAGACATGGTTGCCATAAACTCTGCGCCGTTGTACGCATCTAAAGCCCCTGATCCTGCGGAGCAACAGTTAAAAGCTAACAGATCACGCGCGAGCCAGGGGAGCACGCAACATTCCTAGGACAGTAGACATTGGTGTTAGCAAGAGAGCTAGACAACCGCCTAATAGGAAAGAAATACTCACGATTAGCCAGAACCACAGATTCTCTAGCCCGAAGCAGGATCAAGGAGGCCTCCCAGCGCGTTGGCGGTCTTGGAGTGCTCCTTCGCGGAGAACAAGAAGGCTGTTATGAAAGGTCTCCGTGGCAAGATGACTGATGCCCGCAGTTTGCGGCAATCCAAAGGCTGTAAATAGAGCCATTGCATTGCCTTCATGAATGCGGCGGCTTACCTAGTTTATAAGAGCCAGTCTCTCTAACCGAGCTGCTATGAAGGTGCGGTAATCATCGGCGTGGCAGGCACAGTTCAGCAGAGCAAGGAGTAGGGTGCGCAGCAGCATCGCTTGACCAACAGCAATGCTGTTGGTCGAAGCGAGCGAAGGGCGGCGACTGAGGCTGAATCGCTGGAGAATAGAGGACAGATTGTGATTGTACCTCTCAACAGGACGGGCCATCCCGAATGCCTGATGGAGGATGAGTGCAATTAGGTGACGTAGGAGGAGGAAGAACATACCTTGATCAACAAGAAGAACATGATAAAGCAAACCTCACAAAGCAGACGAACACGTCGAAGCAGAGGAAGTTGACGAAGCAGATGAAATTGACAAGGGCCACAACACCGCAAGGACGGTGGTGTATCCAACGCTAACACTTGGCACGAGGCTGGCGTGGGTGCAAGCTTTTGTATTGCTGACTCTAGTCCACAGACGGCGAGTGTGGATTCTGATATTTTCTTGTCAACCGCGGCTTTGTATGCAAGCCTGGTCACTCGGGTCTTGATCCTTGTTGGCTTTTCGGAATTTCCAGCAGAGATATGCCTCGAAGTCTTCCTTGGCCAGCGAGGCCACTCACGGAACATTCATTAACCAGGTCTTGTGGCTGAGGTGAGGAACATGAGCAAGTCATCTTCACACGAGCCACTCGGATCTGCTTCGGAGAACGTCTCAGTGGCCGGAGCGGTGGTCTTGCGAGGCGTACGCATAGTTCCCGATGCTGTCGACTGTTTTTCAACCGTGTCGTCTGCGATTTCTTCGACCTTGGGGGGAATATCTTTGAGCACGCGACCACTGCCCAGAGCCTGCAACAATCCGCCAGCCTGAAGGATCGTACTACACGAATAAGCCAGGAAGAAAGAGAATCGATGGGGTAGAAACTTACACGTCATCGTCGGAGTTCCAACCCTGAGTGCGACTAAGGTAATAGTCACACTTCGCCGACTTGCCATTCCATAGGCAGTTCGCACACGATCCTTGGAAGAACGCACGAGTAGTGCCTGACGAATCGTATTCGGGCCCCACGATACACTTTTTGAAAGTGCCGGATTTCGCACATTGATTGCAGGGATTTTCCACTTCGATACCGAATGACGGCGGACTGCTGAACAGAATTCACAATCGGCTTGGTCTTTGGCTCTATCTTAGCAGTGTCGACATGGTGTCTTACCAGCAAGGATTCACCTTGGTAGATAGGTGCGACCCACATCCTGTCCTCCAGGGCAAACCTTCTTATATCAGACGTGATGTCGACAAGACTCCGGTGTTCCTTTTCAGTGTGGACTTTCTGGTCTGATTGCTCTTTTTGCGCCGAAGTCGAAGGGCCAGTTCTTCTTTTTTCCGCGTGCTTGACTTTGTTGATAACCAGAGGTGCATGAAAATCATATTCCCTTGCCTCCTTCAGGGCAATATCATCAAGGCTGTCTTCTCCAGGAATATTCCCGTGGGAGAACAAATTGTTCACAGAAGCAGAACCTGATTTGTCAAGACCCTCCAAGAAGCTCTCATCCAGGCTGGATAGGAGACGATATCCGATATGGATACTATCTCAGAGTGAACCATCAAGCCATCGGTTTCAGCGGACAGTCTCTCGAGAAATTACAATCCAGGTCATGGTTTGTGGTCGTCGCCCTGAGTTGGGTTCCGATAAGACGACTCGTTCTTCTTCGTCTCGCCACTGTACGGGTAGTAGACAAGTCCCATTATGTTTTAGAGGACGGAAGTCGGTTTTGTTGCGCCTCGGCGACGATGGGAACTAGACGAGGTGAACAAGCGGCCAGTCTTCAGATTCCATGCCATTGTCGATGAGTTTGCTTTATGTAAAAATAATGATCGTGTCCAAGCGGTACCGCATGGCTGGCTCATCACTAGGGGATCTCTCCAATGCCCCTTCATATTTGTTGAACGTGTCGACTAGTATATTGTCAGTTGTATGCAGCCGTAGGAATATTATGGATACTCTTACGTAGGTTGCGTAGTGCCATGTCGATAACCTCATCTTTGCAGAGACCAGGGTCGGTATCAACATCAACCGAAGATCTCCCCGAATTGTCCTAGTGAGCACCTTGACTTGATAAGTAGCCGACTTATCTGGATTTTTGCCGACTTTGTGGCCGTAGGCCATTCATTTGCGGATTCTACAATCCATGTCTCACAGTTCCTTTGCACTTTCCAGCGATTGTTTTTTGACCGGCGAGACCTAAGATCTCAGGTTAGCTCCTACATTCTCACATTACGCCCCCTCGCGTGGCTGACTCACCAATATTACGGGTCATCATTCGCTGATCATGCGTATACTGAACATCTCAGACGTGATGGAAGCCTTCGAATGTCCTTGAGCGGACCGGTCCATTCGTCACTCCTGTCGGGGTGTATGATATAGACGCTGATCAGCCAGTCGTTCAATCGATCGCGCCTTGTACCAGAGCGCAGTGTTCAGTTCAGTTCACCTGTAGCTTTTGTGTCCTGCCTGGGGACACCACAAATTATCGGATATAGTCATTGATTGCGCGGTAGGTATGGATGATTGATGAAAGATGCGCATTCGTATCTTGTATCTGTCAGAAACCATACTCTTCGCATAAGTATATACTGAAAGTCCGAACTCACCTGCGGCCATTCTTCCGTAGAGTTAGATTCGACATCTCCAAGCCAAGGCGTTGTGCATGGGCTTTGATATGCTTCAGCTTCATCATTCTGTTCTTCAAGTAGGGAACGCAATAGATCTTCGAGGACAGCGGTCGAGCTGTCTGTCGACTCCTGCGCGTAGCCTGCATCTGGTCTTTTTGCCCAGTTATTCCGATAGTCAGGGGAGAGGCACGTGGAATCAATCCATCAGAGGCATATTAATCATAGGTTTTCTTGATGGTTACGCGCTCGGTCAGGAAGTTGTATGCAAATTTGGCGGACTTCAGGGGTGTGTCCTTATCAGATGTGAGAAATTCGAATTCGAATTTCTTTGACAGTCGCCCGAAATCGCACAACTTCATGCTTCGTGTGTAGGCTGTCTTAGAGAGCGGCTGCAAATTTGCATACGCGTTATACTCAGAAGATGGGTATGCTCTGATGGCGAATACGATCAAAAGAGAGGCATAAATATAACAGAAAGCATATATTGAGGAGAATATCTAAATGACAAGAAGAGATGGCGGATGGTTGGGAAGCTAGAAGTGGGCGTTGGGTATTTATCCCTGACGGAGACCAGTGAATACCCATCATCAAAGAATCTTTCAATTCATTGAGCAAGGATAATTGTCGTTTGCCTACCATCAAAATTATTCACAGACTCATTGAGTCATTGTCTAAGACTCCCTATGGAAATTGTCTATAATCATTCACTCAGCCGACCCCCTCAGTTATCATCACTCTCCTCTGCCTCCTTCAAGGTCTGTTCCTTCGTCAGACGAGGGTTGCGGATACAGAGCGAGAAGGCAATCAGGGGCACAGTCAGACAGATACCCGTGATACACAGCAATCTCTGCGCATGCTTGTAGGCCAAAACGACGGCGTCCCGGTCCGGCGTGCCGACGGGGTTTGCTTGGGCGAAGGCGAAGGGATTGCCATAGACTTCTGCGGCCAGTGTCGCGTTGCCAAGCCGATTCTCCAGCTCGCCGGGCAGGACCTGAGTCCAGATGGCGCCGGAGATGGTGTTTCCGAGGGCGCTGCCGACGTTGTACGTGGCGAGGTAGATGCCGGTGATGACGGCAAGGTCTGTGGTGGTTAGCATTGCGAAAGCTCCTGGGGACGCCAGACTTACACTTATGCTTGGAGGCGGCTTGAATGCTGGCTTGAGCTGGGTAAGGGAACAAACCACCGGCTGGACAAGTCAGTGGGCGGTTTCTTACATGAATGAGAGCTCACTTACCAAAACCAAGAAGGATCTGACCCCCGATGATTCCTGCATGATTGGTGCCGTCTGCGCCTCCCCGGAATCGGATGAGGATACCAAAGGCTGCCATGAAGAGCAAGGTACCCGCGACAATGAACGGCTTGAGGCGTCTCACATACACGACGATCGCTCCGAGAATAGTTCCTGTTATCACAGAGACGAAGCTACGCATGTCAGTCAGGCCCAATACTGGCTGAAAGGAGGACAGACCTGTAGAGCGAGGTAATGCGCGTGGCGCTCATTGTACTCTCATCGAAGCTCACAATGAGAACGGTGTAGAGGTAATCACCTTGCAGGGTCCAGGCTAGTCTATGTTAGCAACGGCCTGCGATGTGTTCCTTGGTATACATACCGGTATTGAGCATGACAGCAATTCCCAGCGCACCCCAAACCGCTCGATCTTTCAACAACTGGACCTAGTCAGCGGATTCCGTACACCAGGTAGGAGAGACTCTACCTTGAAAGGAACCATCGGGTGTGGACACCACCGCTCCCACATTATGAAGGCTGGAACGCAGAGCACTCCAATGACAAGAGGAGCAATGACTTTGGCGGTCTTCCACTGCGTCACGGCGCCTCCGGCAATCGTGAACGGAACGAGGATCAGAGCCAGGAGGGCAATCAGGAGCAGAATGCCAACCACATCCAAGTACCAGAACAGGTCGATGAAAAATCGACCAACTCCCTGGTCCAAGAGGGAGAACCTATAGGCCTGGGGGTTGGCTCGGCTAGCCTTGAAGTGGCCCACGAAGAGGACAGCGAGCAATGGAATGGTGCAGACGGGGTAGATGATGGCGAACATTCCGATACCCCATTTCCACGACGTGACTCCCAGGACGGCGGAGGTGACGTTACCGCTGATCCAGGTATTAATCTGCCATTGTGAGCATTTTCCCACTGAAACGGGGACGGATAGCGTACAATGAACGGCAATGCGGGAATATACGAGAAGAGCAGCCGAGACCGCGTGGATGTCACGTCGGCGACCAGAACCTCCACCAACAGGATAATTGAAGTATATCCGATCTTGAATTTCCCGGTCAGCGGCAGTTTCATCGCTGGTTATCAAGGCGAAATACCTGGTAAAGCACGGCACCGGCACAGAACTCGTACAAGCGGTTGGACGCTGCCTCGACGATCGTACCTACAGTATAAAAAACAATCGACAACAGGATGAGCTCCACTCTCCCAAAGACATCTGCAATTTTAGCCGCGGTGGGCTGTTCCAATTAGCGTGGGAAGACAGGAAGATCAAGGCAGAAGGGCTGGTATACCTGAGCAGCAGCAGCAATTACCGAACGTAGAACATTGACCGTCGCCAGCAGACTGTGTGACTGATATTCGGCAGTCGCCAGAGGCTAGGAACGTTAGATGACATGTATACAGGCTTCAAGACGCATCCGCAAGACAAAATACCTGATAAGTATACCGAATTGTTCCATCCAAACCATAGACATAGGCGATAAGGAAGACACCGAAGAAGAAGACAATGCGATGGGCCAGATTGAACTGCGATGAGATCACCTCGATCCGCCTCACACCGGGACTATCGATGCCTCCAAATCGTTCAACGGGGAGGTCAGTCTGGACACGCGATTCAACAGCATCAGGGGCATTTTTCTCAGGGGAGTCGTGCATCGCCATGTTCATTTGCAGATCGTCACCGGTATAGGGGCACGAAAAATCGAAAAAGAACTGGTCAGGCGGGTCAAGGCCTGCCTTTAAGAACCCTGGTGCCAGGAAGAGGGCCGCCTATTAGAGTTTGGCGAGCCCTGGTGCCAATGTCTTGGCGACTTTTAGTCGGCAATATTCATCTTATCTGATGAGAAAATTGCGGAAGGAAGGAAAGTGAAGCCGACAGACGTCAAGAAATGGACAAAGTTAGAGGTTTCAAGAGGAGAGACGTTGATGGTGGATGATGGATGATGGATGATCGTTGTGAGGCCGTCCGCATGCGGAAAGTCCTGTCCACCATGATTGTTGTCTCGGTCACATCCAGCAACAAAATGTTGCATCGGTTCGATCAGATAACCCAAAAAGACTTGAAAAATTCCTTCTATCAGTAGTGGGGTTATCAATCAGATAAGCGGATCAAAAACTAAAACTAAAATGAAAATCGAAAATTTTTTCTGGTGGATGGCCGAATCGCTGCTCACGCTGGGATACGCCAAGTACTTAGTCCCGGCCCAAGGGCATCCAGCCCGTCGCACTGTCACACCCGAGGTCAGGTCACCAATTCAGATTCATTTCCCATCCGAGTGGGATGCTGGAAAAGGGAAAAAGCAAAACTAATCATTTGACCTTGTTGTACACTTGGGTATCTCGTATACATACATGTCTCGTGCCACAAACTGCCAAAACAAAATATAAATGCCTCAAAATAAGTCAACACCGATGTCATGCGGAGACATACTCCTTAAATCACGCTACATTGCCAAGATCGCACATTAACCGACAAAGACTCTGGACCAATGGGAGGACATTATCCTGGTCAGAGTCGCCTCGCGGAAGCGCTCGAACTACATCCATGATCTGACCTGGATCCTCGATGACAGCGGCACCAAAAGGGGTCTGCAAAGCTGGACGAGACGAGCTTGCGCAGGTTGGTCATTTCTTGGCCATCCAGATAGACCGCTGGTCAGCCTCAGAGTGCGGGTCGGAAAGCGGACTGCCGACAACCGCTCGAGAATCCTTGGCTCTTCATACAACACGGTAGGACCAAAACGCGAGACTGGCGTAGCAGACTCTCAGAACAAAGACTCCAGTTAATAATGCTGATCCACGCGAGCACGCTCTGGTGCACCCGTCAGGCTTCGTTCTTGTCCTCCTTACCGGCGAACAGCTGCAGTTCTTCCAGCGACCTGTGGAGGAACATGGAAATGAGTCCAAAGACCAAAACAATCACGGATTTGAGGGCGCCAACCATCTCGAAACAAAGCAGCATACGCGGATACTGTACTGCTTGCCACAATTCTTGACGTCTTGAAGTGATCACCAAGGAACTGTTTCTCTGCTTAGGTGTTTTCGGATCCGACTTCGCCCTTGCGGACCATCACGTCCACCTTGGGCGCCGTTCCGCTGCTGCAGCCAACGCGATCCTCGTCTTGGTGAAGGCATCGAGGAAGCTGCGCTGGGTCTCGACCTCTGCCTTGTAGTAGAATGGAGATCCTGTCGACCAGGGATGAATCGCAAGTACTTGAGCTCGCTGCTTGCCTGTGTGTAGCCCTCCACATAACCCCGCAGGTGCAGAGAATAACACAGATATCGGGACGTATGTATTCCTTGGACGAGTAGTAGATATCATCGCGGAAGTGATTCTTAGGGTCCGTCGATCGACTAGTCTTCTCGGTTAGCCATCAGCTCCTCATTCGTGAGGTCAACTTCAATCATATGTGAGCTCCAAAGCGTGACAAAGTTCACAGAACCATAGTTGCTCGAGCGAAGCCGCTTTGAGTTTCAGATATTGGGTCCGCCATTCACATATCTCCAAATGTCAACAGTGTCCTTTTACGGCTGGGGATAGATGTAACCAAGGTCGAGGCGGTCGAAACAGAAATGCTTCGTGCTCAACATCAGCCAGTTGAAGCAACGGCCAAGGCTAAAGACTTGACAGCTTCGCAAACGCCCACTAGGCGGCAAGGCTTTTTGACTTATTATTTCAGTGAAGCAGCTCGCGAACATGTGGCGACACTGGTGGCCAGCGACGCTGACAGCCATAACCTCAGAAAAGTCTTCTTGTACACCGCGCTGGTCTCCATGAAGCTCTCCTGGTTGCTGTGCTGGCGCCAGGTTCTGGCAGTCCCGCTAAGCTGCAGACCTCTAGCAAAGTCGTTGATATTGATCCCGACCATGCCACCCTAACTCTCGGGGACGGAGAGGTGGTTCAGGGTGACGTGGTCATCGCCGCAGACCCGTACATTCTGTTGCGCGATGCATCGGCGCCAGCCACATTGCCCCTACGACTCGTGTGGGAATGCATTACAATTCTTGATGTTGCGCCAGGCAGCACTGGAGGATCCCGATTGACAACCCAGCGACGACGTCCGTTATCTTCCCAATATCTGTCACGATTGCAAGGGAGAGGCGGGGGCCCAGTATCCGGTCTTCGACCCGCATGCAGCAGAATCCAAGGTGATCCCATCAAGGTGACGCGAGTGCGCAGACAACCAAAGCTTCCTACCTGATTGATGCAGTGGGCGGGAATCTCTGCGAAGCCAGCGGCATATCATTGCGCGCTAAAGTGGAAGAGGACGAGGGCGTCCCACAGGTATCATCAGCCATGCGTCTGGGATAGGACTCGTTAATGTAGAAGTTTGACAGGGCTGTTTCTAATGGCTTTGAGCGCGCCGTCCCGAAAATGGATGTATGTGCCAGTTCGCTTGTTACGGTTCAATAATAGCATGTGGCATCCTGACGCAATGTTATACTGGCTGGTAAGTCATGTTCATAGAAGCCGCCAGTACTTCTGCTCAGCTCTTAATTATTCAAAAGCCCCTATCTATTGCCGTACGAGGTGTGAGCGTGTACATTATTGGCCCGGCTCATATTGAAGGCCACTATGATCTGGGATTAGGATCCACCAATCTTCTCAGCGTCAAACGCCCTAGAATCTAGCTGCAGCGACGTGTCCTCCTAGCCTGGTAAAGTACACGACCCTGTCCAAAAGTACTATATTGGAAACTGCTCCCCACATGTTTGGAAACACATTTCCATAGCTCACGAAGCATCCCCTGTGTTTCTCAGGTGGGGTCAGGCAACGCAACGAAACTAATGTCCCAGGGAGGGACAGACTTGACCTTCCAATGTATGCCAAGGACGATCAATAATATCGGCGATTACTCCGAGGTCAAAAGCCAGATAACGAACGCCTTCATAATCGTTCTGTCGATAGTTATTTGATAGCTGATGACACAGACAAGTCGCATCGGTTCCTGACATTCTGGTGTTTAATCGTCGCGGGACTCCTGTGACTTGGTGGAAATCACCAAGAATTGCGAGATGTACCTTGTGCGCGGCTGATGATGTCAGAAAACGCTGTCCTCGTGGCATCAGTCCAGGATAAAACCAGGTACGTTGCACCATCTGGAAAGGCAGGTGTCGACTGTATGAGGCTTTAGCCTGCGGTCGCATCAGAGGCGCACGGCACAAATATCCGCCGCGATCATCTCATTGGGATTGATGAAAAAAGAGCTTGATATAATTGTTGCATGTAGATACAGGGTAGTCCATCCCTGATTCAAAGCTCAATGGCCATCAATGAGGCCCTAGTCGGCGTCGCAGGGACGGTGCCGGGACCAACCGCCCTTGCATGTAGTACACTGGTTATAACAACAGACGTGATTATATATCAACACCCTAGCTGAAGAGGGATGAATAATCCGAATAGAACCGGGGTGATTTGCGTAGAAGTAGAAAGAAAATGGAAGAGAGGAGGGAACAGGCGATGATGACACAGGATGGCTGCCTGTCAAGAGGGCCTGATAGATAATACGAAATACCTAATCGGGCGGGCTGCCGGGAATTGACCTCCGCCATCAGCTGCACATCACCAGAAGCGCAACGCTTTTGTTTCTCTCCCACACCCTCATATCCCTCATCAAATCATCCATTGCGTTTCTCTCCTGCTTGCGAGCTACCTTGGTAGTCACCTCCTATAACCGTCCTCCTGCTTTCTTCTTCCTTCATCTCTTCACCTTTTCCCCTCTCTTACCCTCCTTCTTCTTTGTGCCGCCCCTCTCATCATCCTCCGTTTGTCCCTGTATGAACACCTTTTTTAGAAACTCTTTTTGATTCTCTCTTCCGCTACACTACCTGACATTCTCGCCTTGTACATTGCGCCTCATTATAGAGACGACCTGAAGAACTAAGCCGTATCATTATCTGGCTGGACTCGCGATCAAGCTAAGAAGCTTTCCCCGCACCGCACGACTTCCATCACAATGTGAGTCGGTCGGGCTGAATCTGAACCCCGGCGTGCCTTGCATCATCTGTTACTGACAACTCCCTTCTACTCTCAGGCGCATCACTGTCAGCGTTATTCGACCGGACCAGGCCGACTCTGACATCATCTCCCTCGAAGTCGGCGGGGATATGACGGTCGAGCTTCTCAAGGCTATCGTTGAGAGCGAAACATCCATACCCACAAATAATCAGCGCCTTGTATATAACAACCAACTACTTGGAAATGATGCGCAGACTTTGGAGCAGATTGGTATTGGGGAAGGCGACATGCTAGGCGTTCATGTTACAATGCGGAGCCCTCAGGCACCTGCTCGCAGCATCGGAGGCGGCCCCAGTGCAGCGGCTCAGCAGAACCTTCAGCGGCGGCAACCGATGACCCCCGACCCCGAGACAATCCGGCTACATATCCTGGGTGACCCTCGCGTGCGAGAGGCTGTCCGACGGCAGAACCCCGAGCTGGCAGATGCTGCCAACGACGCGCAGCGCTTCCGTGATGTCCTGATGGCGCAACAACGCCGGGAGGCTCAAATGGAAGCAGAAAAGGAGGCGCGCATTGCCATGCTGAATGCAGATCCTTTCAATCCGGAGAACCAGAGGGAGATTGAGGAGATCATTCGACAGAATGCAGTGACCGAAAATCTTCACACTGCCATGGAGCATCATCCCGAATGTAAGTGGCAGCGGATCTGAGGGTTGCTCTCAAAGACTAACCAGAGCGCAGCATTTGGTCGCGTGACCATGCTGTACATCCCTGTTGAGGTCAACGGCCACAAGGTCAATGCGTTTGTCGATTCCGGAGCGCAAGTCACTATCATGTCTCCCGAGTGTGCGACCGCGTGCAACATAATGCGACTGGTGGACCGACGGTATGGGGGAATTGCAAAGGGTGTGGGAACGGCGACCATTCTGGGACGGGTACACTCTGCGCAGATCAAGATTGGAAGCATGTTTTTGCCCTGCTCCTTCACCGTGATGGAAGGAAAGCACATCGATCTACTCCTTGGGTTGGATATGTTGAAGCGACATCAGGCTTGCATTGACCTGAAGAAGGGTGCCCTGGTCATTCAGGATGAAGCCGTGCCGTTCCTCGGCGAGGCCGATATCCCCAAGGAGCTGCAGGAAGGTTTCGAGGACGAACCCATCGTCAAGGGTGCCGACGGCGCCGAAGTCGGCGCTCGAACCGGTGCGGTCACACACCAGGCCAGCGGACCCGGCACATCAGCGGCTGCTCCGTCATCGTCGACACCTAGGATCAACATCCGCCCGGCGCCGTCGTCCCGTTGGCCGCAGGACTCGATTGCGAAAATCACCGAGCTCGGATTTACTCGGGAGGAGGCCGTCCGAGCATTGGATGCAGCCAATGGGGACCTCGATGGAGCGATTGGTTTTTTGATTTGACATGTGATATCACCCGCAGGCCACTTTGGACGCGACATACTTGCATCTATACTGGGATCATCCGACTAGACCGTTATCTTGAGCAATCGCAAAACGGAACTTCCTCGGCCAGGCCGGCCTTGGTCGTCTAGACCTCTGCAACTACTTTAGAGAGGTCCATGCCTTGCATGCCTGTGGCACATACCTTGGTAGTGTTCTAGACTTGGACAATCGATCGATGAGATGTCCTGTCATGTTGTGGCAGCTTGTAAGATAGAGGTCAGGAATGTTGCTGCAGTGAATACACATCTTACCCGCGAACGCAATCTGTAGCTGTTCGACACAATCTGTCAATTATCATCTCGCAAGACCAGTATTTCCAGCGAGTTCATAAACAACCGCACCAAACATTCCAACTAGCTTCATAGGGTATCAAATGGTAACAAATCATAAACAATCCGCTATGCAGCACACCATCCACCAAAGTCTACGCCAGCCTACGCCAGCTTCCTCTTCCCCAACAACCTCCCCCTGAGTCTAAAGACCATATCCAGCGCCATAAACGCCCCTAGACACACGTCAGCCGCCCATTCAAAATCCCCAAACCACGACCAGAGTAAGATAGGATACCAACCTAACGCAACATAAGGCCCATAAAGCAACGTAATACTCCTCTTCTGCGCAACCGTACGATCCTCCCAACTCCACACCTGCACCAGACACGCCAAACTCGTCACGAACGCCTGCACGCCGAACGCAAGCAGATGCACCGGAACCATAGCGTTATCGCGGATCAAAGCGGGGATGGCCCACAGACTCAGCGGGGCGTGGTAGAAGAGCTCCATTGCGATGAACGCGGTGAACCAGGGGGGAGGGGGCTCGGCGAAGAACTTGTCGTTGTAGGAGGAGACGTAGAAGGCGCGGATTTGGCGCGCGAGGTCTGTTTGGAGGGCGGTCGGGAGGAGGGGGACGGCGTCGACCACTGATTGCATTAGCTGTATTTCTATATGTATTGAGTGTGGCTTCACTTACTGAAGATGGTTGGGATGTGGATGACGAAGAAGATGAGGTAGACCAGGTCGCGTTTCCGGCTCCAGATGGAGGGGGAGGGTGTTGGGGATGGCATTTTGATTCTACTCTATCGCTTCACTGGGATATGGATATGGTGAAGCAGTTGAGCGACAGATTACTGTGTTGGGGGTTATCTCGTCGCGTCTACGGAGCGTCCAAGGCTAAGATGCAGACACGGACACGCGCGGTCAGGTGACCAGCTCAGAAAAGCAAGCTACTGACCGGCTGTTCATGAGTCCCAAAGGACTGGAATGGAATATTCTAGAGACATTCTTATTGATAGGGATAATAGCTAAGGAGATAATTGCTTTTTCGACTACACGCTCTCAGACTCCAAAGTAAACACTAAAGCAGAAGTTAAGCTTAGCTACGCGGATCGGGGGGGACTATGGTACGGATACAATACTACACTACACAGTCGGGTAGACTAATAGTATGCGGACATGCTCCGTCACCCATGGTTCGCGAAGAGATCGCTCTTTTTTGCTTTTTCTGTTTTCGGTCTCTATATCAACGTCTGTCTTTCTTTTCTTCCTTAACAATGATGGTCGTCAGACTCCAAACAGCGATCTGCTGCGATCAGCACTTGTCTGATGATCCTTTCACCCTGGCCGTTTGACCGAGCAAAGGAGGGCCTTCACCGCAAGTCTGAGACTTAGCATTTGTCATCGACGGAGAAGAGTCAACTTCCAAGTCGTCGTCTCCTTTTGTCGGAGCTGGACTGACGATGGACGGCATGTGGTGACGGTCGTCCGGCAGACCTTGTCCTCTTCCACTACCGCTAATTCGCTCTCTTCAGCCACTACGCAAATGATACGTACAGTCTCCTTTCCTGTCACTCTCTGTTTGTATGCATTGAAGGATCAAGCATATGATCGAGGCAATTTCCTCGACGTGATTACTTTACTAGCCTCCTAATCTAGTCCATATTCCATATTTTACGATTTAGACCGGCCGATCCTAGTCGAAATATCCATCGCGCATTGGCTATCTACGCAGAACCAAAGTTACAGACATTGCAGGTTAGGTTAGCACGCCGTTAGCGTCAGCCCACGCCCTTCTGCCTTTAATCTATCGCACACACTAGCCGGCTAGTCCGTCGCCAGGGGACCTTGGAAGTTGAAACGTGAGACGGTGTTTGTCCCCCGGATGTATGTTTGGGGCCAAACTTTGGGCGTCGGGATTCGATAATCCACAGCCCACACACTTTCTTTTGCCTGCAATTAGATAGAAAGAGGGTGCAATATACGAAGACACGCGACATGGTAATAATTTTACGGAAATAAACGAATCCTTCTCGTGGAAATTGGGCCACACCGGCCCGGCTGGCGTCATGATTGCCATCCATTGACCAAATCTGGATATCATTTCGTAAGAGCAAATGCCACAGAGACTACGAAGTATCATCCAGGGGTTAGTCCAGAGGTTAGAAGGTCGAAGCTGAGGCCTTGTCGTCGACTCGTCACGCCATGTGCGATCCTCGGGTCCTGAGACATCGATCTATTCGATCTCATCCATACATCACCGACGTAGAATTAATTCAGACAATCCGGCAGAAGTACGGAGTACCGAGCACAAATGAGTGAATTACCTTGCCGGCCTTGTTGGCAACCGGGTGCGGATATTCTGATGCAGACTGCAGACTGCATGATGCTTCATGCTTCTACTACAGGCTACGTCTACAGATAGGAACATTATCATCATCGCTCGTATCTTGTTCTCTATCTCTTGGGGACCGAAACCCACTTAGACTTGTAAGGCGTTGTATCCAAAGTCCGACACGATGCCATGTGGGGAACCATGATAAACCCATGGGCGTTGAACCGCGTTCCCGAAAAGAGACAGAAGGGCGTTAAGTCTTGGCTTGGAACAAGCGTAGGTGGAACTACTTCATAGGTAGATTGGAATAATTAAAATATTCTACGCTGTCATGTTGCGATGCATCAAGTCCATAGGTAACCGTTGTTATGTTACCAAGGCAAAAAGCCCCGTTACGCCGCCCGTTCAAACTGGGAGTACGACACTGGAGAACCCCGAAAGCCAGTGTTCCATCCAATTCCAAGTTCTGGTTCACCTGGGGCTGGATCTTAGAATGGAGATGGTGGTCGGGGAAGATGGGATAGCTCCCCAATCCTGGTCTCCTTCGTTTCTAGTCTGAGACTGAGACTTAGGCAGAGAGCAACGACAGACCCCGAGGAACATGCATGCCTTAGGCTTAGGCTTAGGCCACGGCGATTCAGCCCAATACCATGCCACAAAATCAACCAAATCAGCCAATTCCCATAGTTCAGCCGAATATTTAGCGATCAGCATGAGTTTATCCAGGGGTTCTCTGTGTTCCAAAGAATATTGATAGACACTCCACAATAATCATGTAAGCCAGTCCGCTGCATCACATCGAGACATCTTGCCTTATCAGCAGCAGCAATAAAAACCCACCACTCACGATCCACAGTCAAATTGCCGTAGAAAAGTTCTAGTCTGCGGACTAGATCACGGTAGTAGACTAGTAGGACACAACAGCCGGGGTTCCTCTTTCTCACCACTAGACTCCAGAGTACTCAGTATCTACTGTGCGATATCCTCGGTCATCCGTAGTCGACCCCTAGCCTAGGTTCTAGCAAGTGATGCAAGGAGTATGCAAGATAGCAGAGCTCTGCTACCAAGCTGATGCAGCTACTGCGACTACTACCGAAGTCAACAGATCCGTTCCTTGGTTGGTTTCGTCCTCCGTACTCCGTATGCCGCGACATGCTCCACTCGGTTTCTAACGACTGCCTTATCACTGATGGGATCTCTGCGTATGAGCAGATTAAGCGGTGAAACAGTAGAAACGAACAGACTGCCCCATAGAGTAGTACAGCTATCTACAGAGTACAGACTACAAATTGAGACAGAACAGAGCCAATTCCCCGGAACACAGCGGGAGGAGGGAATAGTTACTGTAGATGGTTAGGAGGGAATCTACCGTAGAACATACCCGTTAGTATTCCACGATACTTAGACTAGCTCCTGGGGGCTTGGGTTTAGGGCCGAGGAGCTAGTTTCCTTCTATTGCACAGTATTTAATAAGATAATATCAATTGGTATTAAAATATCCTTGTCAGAACATGATTCTAACATAATAATACAGATCCCAAGAACCAATCACCACCGCAATCAGTCACATCTGCTCAAGATGGTGCAAAGCTATGGGATGAATCTCCAACAGGTCCGGTAATAAAGAATGAGAATGTCAGTAAGGATAGAGCTTGAAGCCAGATAGACCCTTTCCAGAACTCTTGACCGCTTTTTCCTTTCCATCTTTCTTTCTTCTTTCTTCTCTGTTCTGTTCTGGTCTGAACTTTGATTTTAGAATTCTTGGAGTAGGAAGTTCTTTGGCCTTAACCATGCCGCTGCCCCTCCATAGAGCAACACTCCCCCTTTATGGCGATTATCCTGCATCTCACGACTCAAAAGGACTGAGAGTAACTGCATGAACATGCAAACTCATCAATTATTATTATCCGATTTCTTTTGAATTCAATTAATCTAACCACAAGTCCCCGGCCCGGAGATGAAAGGGAAATAATGAGTTTCCTAGTCTATCCAGTCTAGTCACGGCCCTTTTTGCGACGCACGCCATTGCAACGAGATCATTGGCGCCATGGGGACGATGTCATCCACTTGGCTAAAACATTGGAATTAGATTATTTCGATTTACCTTTGATGTCCTGCTCGGCTTGCTCTTTGTATGCAAGAAGTATGTCAGTATGTGCGTCGTACTAACAGTGTCTTTATCGCCAGATGACGACTTGGTGGAGGCGAACGATATTTACTGACTCCGTATCATACTTGATACTTGATTAAGATTATTATTTTACAGCTTGATATTTTATATTTTTTTTGTTTTATCTATCATCGGCAGAGTTCTCTATTTATTCCATTGTCCTCGCCTCGACATCTAGACTTTTCTTTTCTTTTTCCTCTGCAGCATCAGATCTCGCCTTTGAGTATATACTTGAGAAGCTTCATCAGGTCTTCTTCACCACCACGAGGGACAAGACTCTTCCTGCGTGTCCTTTTCATCTTGGCTTCTGTTTCATTTCATGAATCAAAGTTCGCTTGACTGGCCTTTTTTCAGCAGTATCCTATCTAAACTTTCCTCCCCATCATCTCAAGCATCTCTCCCATTCCGTTAATCATGCCTGCTTCAGCCCCCGTCACACCACCTAGCAAACCACAAGCTGTCAATCCTCACGAGGATGAGATCCCCATCAGCTACGACATCAACATCCCCTATGTTGATGTCACAAAGGAATCCACTTCACACACCAGATACCCAGAGTACCTCCCCACATGGGACAAGGTCTGGTTTGATCCTCTGCCCCCCTTCAAATACGAGGATCCGGCGCTGCGCGTAAAAGACAAGAGCAAGCGCAACCTGCTCACCCCCGGTGTCAAAGTCTCGCACATCCAGCCCCAGATCGGGAGTGTTGTGGAAGGCGTGCAGCTGAGCCAGCTCTCCGACGCCGCCAAGGATGAACTGGCTCTGTTAGTCTCGGAGCGCAAGGTCGTCGCTTTCCCCGCGCAGGATCTCATCGACGCCGGCCCGGAAAAGCTGGAGCAGTTCATGCGCCATTTCGGGAAACCAAACTACCAGCCTGTTTCCGGGACGGTGCGCGATCACCCCGGATTCCATATCATCCACCGCGATGGCAACCGCCAGGAAATCGCGCGCTTCCTCGAGCAGCGCACCACCACCACGCTCTGGCATCAGGACGTGAGCTATGAAATCCAGCCCCCAGGCTACGTCATGCTGGGCCTGCTCGAGGGCCCAGAAGTAGGCGGCGACACCGTCTTCGCAGCCACAGACATGGCATACAAGTACAACCCTCTTCCCCTTCTTCTTTCTACTCAAAATCTGACCGCAGCAGACGCCTCTCCCCAACTTTCACCTCCTTCCTCGACGGCCTCCGCGCCGTCCACTCCTCCGCCAAAATGATCAACCACACCCGACTGATCGGCGGCCTCGTCCGCAAAGACCCCGTCGACACCGTCCACCCGCTCGTGCGC